CTCTCTCTCTCTCTCTCTCTCTCTCTCTCTCTCTCTCTCTCTCCTCTCTCTTCTCTCCTCTCTCTTCTCTCTGCTCTCTCTCTCTTTCTCTGTCTGTCTGTCTGCCTGTCTGTCGTCGGTTTGCCTGTCTCTCCTCTTCTCCACCCACTCTCTGTTTGGTCTCTTTTTCTCTCTTTCCGCATCCACCCTCTACCATATATACACAGGCACATATACTCTACAACGTCCTCTCCTCTCACCCGCTTTCCTTCTCTCGCTCACTTTGTATCTCCGTTCCCCTTTATTCGGATTCGTTCCATCTCGGCAGCCTGGCTTGCTACGTTCACTGACCAATTTGTTCGATAAAAGCTCTCGACTGATTGGCTGGACAACGCGGCCACGGCTCTTTTTTCCAAGCGTGAAATTTACCGTGGTAACCAACTCATTCTTTCCGATCGCGGTTACAAATATTCGTTGGTCAGAGTCAAACTCTCGATACCTCCTTCAACGTTTTGTACCATTTCAACGCGTGCTTCCCCTTCGTTATGTTTGCTTTATCATAGGTGATACACTTTTTTCTCGCGTTTAACCATAGAAACGCAGAAGACACCTTCTTTCTTCGGACACGCGGTTCGGAAATCTTTCCAATTACATCTCGGCTCGTGTACCAAAATATAAACAATGCGCATCTATCGCGTATAATCAACTCTCCTTTCGATAACAGAGCCGAATAGTCGAAATTGAACGTGACGCGCGTTTTCAAGTGTATATTATTCGTAATTACGGCACGCAACGAACAGTGAGCGAGATTAACACCGCAAAATGTCGCTTCAATATTATCGTTTGATGACCGACCTAAAAACTTGAGCAGCCGGTCGATATAGGGCGGTGAAGCGTTACATTAGGCATGTAAACATTCCCTATCTGTCCATCGTTCGAGCAATCTGTCGATCTGCTTCATGTTGTTATCCTGCTATCCTATAAACTATAATAACTCCAATCAAGATAAACTCGATTCATCGTCGTCTCTCGGACACTTTATCGTTCCGCTCTTTAATTTTGCTTCACTTTCGTGACTAATCCCCGCGAGGCAAAGAACAAATCTTACAATACTACTTCGAACCCAACGATACAATGATAACAATGAAGAATGTTTAAGTAGTCGTACCGGCGCGAAAACAGACCTCTCTGTCGCTCTAACGTTTTCCATAACACTATTTTTTATAAGTGTAGTCGTCCCGATCCGTGTAATCGATTCGAGCGACGATTATTTTCGTGGGTGCTTTGACTATTTCGCGAAAGATTCGACAAACGAGTCGGTTCCTCTAAGGACCAGTGACACGACTATTGAAAAATGTTTTCGTTACGATTAAAAGTAAAAGCAAAATGGTAGTAATCGGCATTACGAGTAAGTAAGTAAGGACGCGTGTTCATACGTAGGTATATGGATATATGGTTGAGGAAGTGGAAAAATGGGAGAGAAGGCGAAGTAGGATCGAGCTAGAAGCGGGAGTGAAAAAACAATTGCTATTATCCTACGAGCACCCAGAAATAGGATAGAGGGTGTGACATGGTTGTATACTCTAAATAATAATGTTAATCGTCATCGGCACGACATAGGTAAAGTATTAAATACTTGGGTAGGTGTTTAGGATCGGTACACCTACATATATGATACCGTATACACGGATATGTGCGTGCACACGCAGACGCACAGACGCACAGACGCACAGACACACTATACTCACCGGCTAAATCGGCTGGTAATCTGGGGTATAGCATTCCAGTCCTGGCTAACCACTCGAGTTGAAGTGGATGAATGTGATGCTGTTGAGGATGAGGTCCAGCTGCCTGCGAGTGTCCGATGGTTTGACCTTCTTTGTGGATAGAGTGAAACGCGCTGCCACTCGCAGGATGATAGTACAATCCGCCAGGGTGAATAAGCGGACCACTTGGGTGTAAGAGAAGAGCTTGATTCTGTCGAGTTAGTCCGGTACCGGTGCCGAGTGCACCATAATGCCCAGTCGATAAATTCGAACTAGCAGAAATTCCGTTGCTGGAAGGTTCTTCCGATCCCGGAGAAATCGGAGGACTCGAGATCGGACTGTGACTGGCGTTACTTCCGGAACTGGCGCTCCCCGTCCTCGTTGGGTCGACGTCCACAGAACCATCGTCCTCGACGTTTTCCAACCGATCAACGCGAAATCCCCCGTTAACGGTTGCCGCGTGTTCTCCTCTAAACACCGGTTTGCCGCGTTGAATCGAAGCCTCCGCGGCTGCCGCGTCCATGGATTCTATGCGAATACTGGACAAGCGAATGTCTCGTATAGGTTGTTCGTGAACATCCTGTCGGTCACTCGTGTCGCGAACAAATTCCAATCTGGGAGAAACCGAGCCATGTTGAACGGATCTATCGAACGGATTCAGCAATGTTCCCAAAGACGATGTCCTTTGCTCTTCCGATCCTCCGAGGCGCGTTGCGATTCCACTTGCGGCATTGCCAGTACTTCCGGTGCTTCCGGTGCTTCCGGTGCTTGCAGTGCTCGCCGAAATTCCCAGCGTACAAGACGATTCTCGGTCGTGCCCTCGAACAGAGCTGTTCACCAGGCAATGGCTCATCTCCGGTCCGGAATTTCTCATGGCGAGCACCAATCTTTGATTACGTTCCGATCGATCGAGATCGAGATTCTCTTGCTTTTCTGTCGCTCGACCGAGAAGCGCGTCGATACAGAAGGACGTCTTGCCCAGGGAAACGTTTCGTTTGTCGGTCCCATGAACCGAATATCCTTGCGGGGAAGTTCTGCCCGGCGAGTTCCCCGATCCTCTGAAGCGATTCGCCACTGCCACCGCGGACACCATTTCTTCGGTAAAACACC